TTTATATCTTCTTGGTCAAAGTTTGGTTAACTTAAATATACTTAGGAATTTATCCTTTTTCTAGGTTCTTCAGTTTTTTTGTTGTTGTTTGTTTTTGTTTGGTTTTTTTTTTGGGGGGGAATATAAGTTTTCACAGTAGTTTCTTATAATTCTCTGAATGTCAGTGATATAATGTCATCTGTTTCATTTGTAATTATATTGACATAGGTCTTCTCTTACATTTGGTAAATATGGCTAGTGGTTTATCAATCTTCTTTTTCTTTTTAAAGGACCAACTCATTGATTTAATTGATCATTTGTATGACTTTTTGTTGACTCCGTTTCATTAATTTCTACCTTCAGCTTCTACTTTTTCTTACCTTCTACTGGTTTCAGGTTTGTATTTTTCTTGTTTTTCTAGAACCTTAAGATGCAACATTATATTATTTGTTTGGAGTCACTCTGTTTTTCTAATGGAGCCTAAAAGCTTTCCACTTAGAATCGCCCTTGTTTTGTCCCACATGTACTTCCATTATCATTTGATTCTAGGAATTTTTAAATTTCTTTCCTGTGAAATATTCCTAAATAGTAATCTTCAATAGTTGCTTCATTCATTTAGGAAGAGGAGCTAAATTTATCTTGTGTTGCCCTGAGGTAATTTTATTGCCTCATCTGCAAAATTGGGTGGTGTGGATGAAGGCATTTCATCCCACATAAGTTCTTCCCGATCTCATCATTCTTTTCTGTGTTATATTTCTAAATTGCAAAATCCTTCTGCCTGAAAGTAAAATGCCACTTGACATTTCAACCAGCTAAAACTCAAGGAAGTGAAAAAAAATACCAACATGCAGTTTAGTGCAGCAAGATCTTTAAATGAAAAGATTTTATTACATCTTTTTCTCACCAGAGGTCCAAAAAGTCTAAAAGCAAAATAATTAGTTAGCAGTTTTAAAAAACATGTATTCCCATGTTCTCAAGCCAGGCGCTAGAACCTCACTCAGGATCAATTTGCTAATCCTGTGATGGTTGCACTCACTCCCATCCTAGGGTAGAAACAGAAACCAGGTGGAAATTATCCAAGACAGAGACGTGTGCATAGAGGCCTGCTCCTGGGGATAGGAGGAAAGCTTCTTTCTTTTACATTTCTAGCCTCAAGCCATACTGACCAGTCAATGAAATTAAGGTTCGCCACTTAGGATAACCACTGGAGGGACATGATGGATCGATATCTCACTTGTACCAGCAAAACTTCTACTGGCAAAATGCTGTTGAAGCTGTTCAACTGGGCAGAGATTGGGTGAGAAAGTGAAAGAGCTGGTACAGCAAAGATATATGAGTTTCTTATAGGCCAAACAGAAGCTAACCCAAGAGATAATATGAAAGAAAATTACCCTGATAGGGAGAGGTTGTTGATATAGTAGAAAAATGGGGTGATATGCATTCGTATAGACAGGAGCTATTTAAGATGAGTCACAGAAAACATTGAAAGAGTGTACTGGTTTGGAAATGTCAACTCAAAGGTCCCTGATGTGGCCATCAAAAAACTCTCAACTGAACCCTCAGATGAAAGAGAAAGCTTTGCCCAAATGCCAAGTCTAAAGAACAGCAACGGAAGCATGTACCTTCTTCACAATCCTCCTTTATCCATCCTGTATCCTCAGTAAATGGGAAACAAAGGCCAGTGAGTGACAGGGGAAAAGGAAAGGCGGATCTTGCTGTGTGATTCTACCTTTGCAAGATGAAAGTCACAGTAACATGGAACTGAACATGGCAGCAGTTTTACAAAAGAACTATTTTCTTTAGTTCTAAATTATCTCGTTTTCTTTGCTTTCTTGGACTAGGTAATTAATCAAAAGTACTGAATTGTTTTATTATTCTTTAGTTGATAGGTTCAAATAACTATCTCTCTAAGAGTTCTGCATTCTAACTGTGCATGCATATTAAATATTCATTTTATAAATGTTTATGAATATTTCTACCAATTGGTTTCACTGGTAAATTTTACCAAACCTTTTTTTGTTTTCAGTACTGTGGATCGAACTTAGGACCTTGTGCATGCCAGGCAGGCACTTATGCCACTGAGCTGTCTCCCTAGCCTTACCAAACCTTTAAGGAACAAGTGATAGCAACTATCTGCAGTCTATTCCAAAACAGAGAAGAACAAGAGCACTTTGAAAAATTCTATTCATAGCCTGAGTAACTCTCTTTTCAAATCAGAAAAAATATATAAAATCTGCAGCTCCAAAACAGCAGAAATTTGGGGGTTGGGGAGATAAAAGCTTGCCTGACAAGTGCAAGGTCCTGAGTTTGATCCCTGCTACCACCAAAAACAAACAAACAAACAAAAAAAAAAAAAAAAAAAAAAAAAAGCACACAGTAGCAAATTGACTGCGATGGTGAATAAAAAGAATTAAATGCTATAGCTAAGTAGAATTTATTCCAGGTAGGCAAGATTCATTGTGATGTTTAAGCTTAAATGACAACTTGCTTGGTTTGAGAGGCACCCTGGAAATTAGTAAAGCACACTGTGGGTGTGTGGGTAGGTCATGGAGGCGTCACCTTGACGACCATGTCTGGTGTCTTCCTCTGTGCCCTGGCTCTGTTTCCTGACTGCCCCAAACTAAGAAGTCTTGCTTTGCCACACTGTTCCACCACGATGTTCCAGCCAGGGGTCCACATGTGTATGAACTGACTGCTGCGAAACTGTAAGTCAAGTCAATCTCTCCCCATTTCAGTTGTCTATGACTGGCACTTGATCTCCGTGACAGCAAAGCTGACCAACACGTGAATTCACCATTTGAAATTTAATTAATATAATACATCAACAGGCTAAAGAAGAAAAATCATGTAATCATATCAAGTGCAGAGAAAACATTTCACAAATTTCAACACCCATTTATCATAATTATCATCAAAGAAGGGAACAGTCTAACCTGAATTCCAAAAACCTATAAAAGACCTTCAGCTAATGTACTTAGTGATGAGATACTGTGTAATGTTCCTCTAGCCTCAGAAGCCAAAAAGGAACACTGCCACTTACCATTGTGATTCACCATAACAAAGGTCCTATCTGATACAAAAAGATATAAAAAGGGGAAAAAAAGTATTTAATTACTTAGTCCAAGAAAGCAAAGAAAGTGATATTATATAGAACTGAAGAGGGCTGTAAAATTACTGAGCTCTGACACTGTCTCAGTGAACTATACAAACAAGGAGCAAGCCTTAAGGCAATCTTCTTTTCCTTAAAAATGACATCATTGCCTCCATAGAAAATCCAGCCAGATGTGGTAGGTCATGCCTTTAACCTCAAAACTCAGGAGACTAAGGAAGGAGGAGCTCCATGAGTTCAAGGCCACCTGAGCTACATACGCAAGTTTAAGGCCAGATGGGCTACAAAGTGAGACCCTGCCTCAAAGTAAAAGTCCAATAACTGTTTGTTAGTTTGTTTTGGGGGAGGATGTTGTTAGTTTGTTTTGGCTTTCTTTTGAGGCAGGGTCTCACTATATAGATCAGACCAGGCTTAAATTCACTATATTGCCCAGGCTGAGCTCTGACTTGTAGAGATCTTCTTGCCTCAACATCCCAAGAGCTAGGACTACAAGCATACACCTCGACACCAACAGAAAATCCATAGGGCCAGGGAGATGGCTCAGTGGAATAAGCACTTCCCTGGCAAGCACAAGGGCCTGAGTTCAATCCTCGGTTCCGAAAAAAAAAAAAAAAAAAAAAAAGAAAGAAAGAAAGAAAGAGAAAATCCAATAAACATTATCAGTTATTCCTGACATGATCTATAGATTCAATATAACCTCAATCATAATCTCAATCTCAATCATATCTAGCAAAACACTTTGTGTATATCCGCAAACTCAGAAAGTTTGTATGAAAAGATAAAAGATCTAGGACAGCCAATAAGATATTCAAGAATGAACATTATCTGATGTCAAGACTTACTGTGTAATGACAGTAACCAAGACATTCACATGTTGGTGAAAGAATAGACAAATGTATCAGTACAGTAGAACAGAGACCAGAAATAGACTCACACAAATACAGTATGTTGGCTACATGGTGTTGCATTATTCACAGAAGCCAAAATATGAAAGCAATCAGGATGTCTTTTAATAGTGATAGACAAACTGTGGTACATTTGTCTACACAATATGATTCAGTCAGTATAAAATGAGGTACGAAGTCATGGTAAGATATTGAGGAATGTTAAGTGCATGTAGCTAAGGGAACGAACATGACTTTAAGAAGCCTGCTCATTGTGTGACTGCAGTGATATGACAATCTAAAGTGGACAAAATGAAGAAGACAGTAGCATATCAGTGGTTGTCTAGGTTCAGCAGTAACAAGCAGTGGATCTATGAATGAAGAGGGCTATAAAATTACTGAGCTCTGATACTGTCTCAGAGAACTATGCAAACAAGGAGCAAGGCTTAAGGCAAACAGTGGTACTGAGTTTCATTAATAGTAAAATATCAGTATTTTACATCAGTTCTAATGAATATAGTGTGCATTGCACAACATTGTATGTGGAGGCAGGGTGAAGGTTATATTGGAACTTTTTGTACAGATTTTTCTGTAAACCTAATAAAAAGATATTATATGCACATGGGCAGAAAGAGAAAATTCAATGAACTCAAGAAACACTAAGGGCTGGCCAAATAGCTCAGCAGACTAAAGCGCCTGCTTAGGGAGAGCACAGTGGTTGCGGTTCAAACCCCAGGGCATGCTGAGACAGCAACTGAGAGCTTGGGAGACTGAAAACAGGAGGATCACTACGAATCTTATCTGTGTAGTGAGACCCTGTAGACCCTGTACTAAATACATTTAAAAAGAAAAAAGAAAGAAAGAAAAGAAACACTAACTAGATACATCCCTGAGAACATGCACATGGACCACTTAAAACACATACACAGACGCAGCATTCACAAGAAAAACAGAGCACAGAGGGAACCTGAGCTGGCTTGATTTATTATCTAGACTTCAGTGCACGTCTGGGTTATACTTAGAACAACTTACATGGAAGTTGCTGAGTCATTGTTTTCTTGCTTGTTAAGTAGCAAATTTTCAGTTAAGTCTAAGTATGGCTCCTCTTTAGAATATGAATGGTTTTCCTTCATGCTTTCTTCTTGAATCTCACTTTCCATTAAATTTGTATCTCTTTCAATAGTAGAAAAGCAGCTTTCAATATTCCAATGTTTTGCCTGAAAAAAAGAAATCTATCTAATTTCTGTATCACTTACTTTTATCAAATGTATATGTGTATTTTCCATGTGCTAGATTACTAATTTCAACTTCTGTGAACATACATGCACACACACTTATCAAAGATATGATTTCTGTCTTCAGGGACCTTGCACTCATACCAGGAAGATGAAATATATTCATGTAACTTTAATAAAGTTAGAAAATTAGAAGTATCATAAGAAACAAAGTTCTCTTGAGGGATAATTTTTTGCAATTCTGACTTCAAAATCCTGAATATCTGCAACATATATATCCTAAAAATAAAAATGTTCTTTTATTGAAAAATTTACAGAATTGGGGACCGGAGAGATGGTTCAGTGGAATAAGCTCTTCCCTGGCAAGCGCAAGGGCCTGAGTTCAATCCCCAGTTCCACCAAAAAAAAAAAAAAAAAAAAAAAAAAATAGAATTAATCTGTCCTATTACTTTCTTTTTATCCTACCTTCTAATAATAAAAAATCAAAAGTCATTTCAATTATTAAATATTTTCTAACAGAAAAATATATGATATTTTTTACATATTCTTGACCATAACTCTTAATATGTATCCATCTAGGGAAATTTCTACATTGACAACCTATTTCATATTTTTACTACAAGACTGGTCATTCACAAAGAAACACAGAACACAGTCTGTATGGGAAATATGATAAGAGGGTAATGTATTCCAACTTTACTTGACTAGCTCCCCTAAAACCTGAATAGCCTTGTCCTAAGGTTTACAAAGTAAAATGCCTGACAGGGTCAATAAGATGTCACTGAACGATCGGACCTTCTGTAAGATGATAGGCGGATAGTAAATATCAAACGAAATTCGCTTCTGTATTTCATCAGTAAGAAAGGAAAGTGGGTTCTATAGTGAAACCCAGAAAGCCTGTTTTGTGTAAAAGAAGCTACTGTGCTCTGGAAGTGTTTGGACTGTGTCTTCCAAGAGTTCATGTCTTACAATTTGGTCTCCTGTGTGTCCAACGTTGAGAGACTGACAGCAGTTAAGAAGTAGGGTGCAGTAGAAGAGCTTAAGTTACTGGGCATGGTGCTTTCCACAGGAGCTGCCCTATTTCTTGTGGTATCTGACTGAGAGCAAGCCTGACACCCCCCGCCAGCTCCCTAGCCTCCACAGTGTGGTCTGTCTTCGCACATTCCTATCATGTGATGCCATGTCCTATGAGGTGAAGCAACCAAAGACCCTCAGACAGTCTATGCTTCATACTCAAAATTGTAGGCTGACAAGTCACCTTTCTTTATAAATTACCCAGCCTAAGATGTACCATCCCAGGAACAGAAAATGGACTAACAGAGGGGTCAAGTCACTCTCAGGAAATGATGTATGTTCTTCATCAAGAAAAGCGAGAAATCGGGATCTTTCCATGAGATCTCTTAACATTTAAATAAAATTTTAAGCACTGGGTAAATACATATAGAGTACCCACCCATCAAATCCACCAGACCCAGAGATTATAAGTGTACAAACCCTGCCCAGCTCTATAGCGGTGTGTGCTTAGGAAAGGCACTCATAAATTGCAGACGCCGTCTAGTTTCTCTTATCCCACAATCATCTGACGGTTTCCTGAATTAATGTGTAGTCATGAATAGAGTATCTTCACTTCTATTTCTCCAACTCCAAAAAGAGGCATATCACAGAACTGACTTTCCAAATTTAGCTTGAAAACTAGCTGAAGATCAATAGTTATGCTATAAAAGTGATTCATGGCTATTTTTAGGTAAATTCCACAAATCACATAGACTTATACTGCATTAAAATTTAAATAATTTAATCAGATTGTGTATCTTGTTTACTGCTAGACCAATATTAACTCAAGTGAAAGACAAATGCTATGTTCAAATGTAGGGCACAACTTACTGCACTGTAAAGATCATATTAGTTCACTCAGACTTCTCATTCTAGTTACATGTGCTGGGGCCGGTGAGATAGCTCAGTGGTCTAAAGCACCTGCTTAG